CCCGAACATCGTGACTCTAGTGGGGTGCTACGCGGGCCCCACCGAGATGCTGCTTGTGTACAACTACCTATCAGGGGGGAATTTGGAGGGGCTGATACGGGAGAGGGTCCGGCGGGGGTTCGGGTGGGACGCGCTCCACCGGATAGCGGTGCAGGTGGGGTCGGCCGTGTGGCACGTGCACCGCGGGGGATTGGTGCACCGGGACATAAAGCCCAGTAACGTGGTGCTGGACGGGGAAGGGAACGCTTACCTGTCGGATTTCGGGCTGTCGACTCGGGCGGCGGTGGAGAAGCGGGGCCGGGTGGCGGGGACGTATGGTTACATAGCGCCGGAGTACGCGGAGACGGGACGGGTGTCGAGGGAGGCTGACGTGTACAGTTATGGGGTGGTGTTGCTGGAGCTGATGTCGGAGAAGAGGGTGCTGGACCCGTCGTTCGGTGGACGTACGATGGGGTTTGATATTGTGTCGTGGGTGGTGACGATGGTGGGGGAAGGACGGGTGGGGGCGGTGTTCATGAGGAGGCTGTGGGATGCGGGGCCGAGGGAGAAGCTGGTGAAGATGCTGAATGTGGCCGTGCTGTGTACGTCGGCGTCGGCAGCTGACAGGCCGTCCATGAGGCAGGTCGTGGAGTGGCTCAACCAGATTGAGGCGCAGGATAGTGGCTAGGAAGTGAATTTAATTAGATCATGTTTTTTATTTGCTTTAATTAATTAAAATAATTTAACTGTTTAATGTGACAAATAATGAAAATATTTTTTTAAAAAAAATAAATAAATACTACTAATTCAGGAATTTAAAAAAATAATAATAATAAAACCATGCTCACATTGCTCAATATTTAATTTATAAAATTAATTTCAAAATTAACACTATTAATTTTTTATTAAATTATTTTTAAATATTTATTTCTCACATCATAAAAAAAAAAATAAAAAAGTGATGCGTTCACCACCACAACCCACATTCTAACACATGAATCGACCCATTATAACTATCAGCGCAATTGTTATCAACTCTCTCAAGAATAAGATTTAGTTTTATCAATGTACCAAAAATATGTAAAAATAATCAAAACTTTGTGATTAATTCAGATATCAATTTGATCGATCTCAATTAGTCTTCCTAGCCCCGTGACCAGATGATCGGCTCTGTTGAGAGCCGGCGGCCCGACCCTTATCGTAACCGGGCTTGTTTCCATTGCCATTTCTAATCCCAGCCCTTGTAGGGGACCTTGCACCACGGTTGGCGGGCGACTTCCTGTGTGTAATATAAGCTTCCTTTTCACCAAATTTGACACGATGAACCTGCAAAATAACTAAAACATTAGTCGAGGCAAGATTAAAAAGCAAGGTAATAATTCGATAGTAGTAATTGGATACCTCGACAGCTTTACGAGCAGAATCAGCAGATTCGAATTCGACAAGTGCAAAACAAAAGCCATCCTGGAGAGAGTAAGGATATTAAACATGAAAGTGTCAAAACTCGACGGATAAACCAAAAAAAAAAAAAA